GTCGTAGTAGTAGTAGTAGTAGTAGTAGTAGTAGTAGTAGTAGTAGTAGTAGTAGTAGTAGTAGTAGTAGTAGTAGCCAGTAGTAGTAGTAGTAGTCGTAGTAGTAGTAGTAGTGTAGTAGTAGTAGTAGTAGTAGTAGTAGTAGTTGTTGTAGTAGTAGCAGCAGCAGTAGTAGTACTAGTAGCTACTACTAGTTAGTGACGACTACTATTACTAGTAATTACTACTCGTAACGACTACGATTGGTATTTGCACTACTAGTAACCCGTGTTACTATACGACTACTACTTCTACGGTGACTGCTACTGATACAACTAGTTCTTAAAGGTAGTAACTCTTACTTCTTCTACCACTAGTAACTACTGCCACTACTGTGAGCCACTAGTAAAATCTACTGCTACTACTACTACTACTACTACTACTACTACTACTACTACTACTACTACTACTACTACTACTACGACTACGACTGCGACTGCGACTACGACTACGACTACGACTACGACTACGACTACGACTACGACTACTACTACTACTACTACTACTACTACTACTACTACGACTACTACTATCACTACTACCACTACTACTACTACTACTACTACTACTATTACTACTACGACTACTACTACTACTACTACTTCTACTGAAACGAGTTACTAATAGTAGTAACTACGACCACTACTTGTAACTGCGACGACTCGTAACTCCTACTACTACTAGTAACTACTACTGCTGCTAGGTTCGCGCACCTGGTGGCGATGGGTGGCTCCGCGGACCTCGGCCTCTTCACCGGGGGCGCCAGCCCCTTCGCCCAGGAGAGGGCATGCGCGAGCGCGGTCGTCGTCAACGCCACCGCGCTCTGGCTCAAAGTCCGGGGCGAGGAGAAGGCGCATATCCACGAGAACGAGATCTACGCCGCAGGCGCTAAGAAACGCATCCGTAACCTCCGCCGCAAGCACCGCGAGACGACGCGCGAGGAGGACAAGGCAGCCTTCGAGGTTGAGAAGGCCAAGCACGCGGCAGAGCACCCCGACCAGAAGGCCCAAGTGGACCAAGCCTACTCGAGCGTAGGGGACAAGTACAGGATCATCTTGATCAACATCTTCGCAGTCGAGGGCTGGCTCGTGGACCCGAGCAGGGGGCCCGAGTCCGCCGAGAAGCGCGGCGCGGCCTTCGCCCCCTGCGCAAGGCACTGCCGAGTGAGCGACATGAGCCTCGAGGAGGGCACCTGGCGGCGCGACCCCGCCCACGAGCGGAGCGACGGCGAAACGGAGCGCTTCCGAGCAGGCGAGCCCCTAGGAGCATTGCTGAAGGGCTGGCGCAACGCTCTGCTCGAGTTCTCCGAGGAGGAACGCGCGAAGGTCCTCGAGGCCATCGGCGCCTGTAGGCAGCCCAGGGCCTGGGCGGACGAGCTCGCCGCTGCCTGGGCCATCGACTTCATCAAGCAGCAGCGCGGCCAGGGCCTCGCGTTCGCAGACTGCCTCTCGAGCCAGTGGGCCGAGGCAGTGACGCTCCGAGCGTGGCTCCAGAATGTGATCCACGCGCCCATGCCCCCCGACGCCACGAGCTTCTTGCAGGGGCCGGACGCCCGCGAGCACAGCCAGCTCAAGGCCGCGACCCGAGGGGTCAAGGCCGGGACGCGCTGGGCCATGGAGCAGGGCTGGATCCAGAAGGCCAAGGCCATGCCCCAGAAGCAGTACAAGTCCCCGACCCAATCGGGGCCCCACGGGTGCCTCTACTGCGTCTCCGAGGCCCACGCCCGCTTCCGCGAGGAGAATGCGGGCGCGGTGCCGCCCCGAGGGATGCAAACGAATCAAATGCTCGCGATCCGGCCGATAAAGCAGGGCGAGCTCAAGGTCGTCACGGGCATGGTGCCGTGGAGCTACTCCATCGAGCCCAGCCGCGGCATCGAGCAGAGCCTGGCGAGCGAGCGCCTGGAGGGCATGCAGAGGTGCCCCGGGGGCGCGCCGCCCGCGCCCGAGTGGAGCGCCCTCGACGGGAAATGCTTCCACCAGGACGACTCCCAGGGACTGCGGGCAGGACGAGAACACCTGCCTCCCGGAGCTCCGAGAACTGGACCTCGAGCTCACCGACGAGCAGAAGGACATGCTCAGATCGCCAGAAGAGCGGATCCAGGAGGTCCAGGCCCCGCGCGCCTTCGAGCACCAGATCAGGACCAAGCGAACAGGTAGACGCAAGAGCTGGTGGGCGCCCGAGTTCTCGGGCCAGTTTCCGGGCAAGCACGCGCGCGAGTGGCAGCGCGCGAAGGCCGAGACTGGCAGCGAGGCCCCGCTCGATCGCCTGAGCCGAGGCGTGGCCACGGCGAAGCTCACAGGCAGGCCACCGAAGGCGAAGACGAGCTTCTCCCATAAGTTCGAGCAGAAGATGCAAGCAGAGAAGGGCGCCAAGGAACAAGCGACGGCCAAGAAGAAAACAGGCCTCGAGGCTTGCGAGGGCCCCCATTGGCACGGCATGGTGGCGCGCGTAGCCGAAGAGGGAGTCCACGGGGGCAGGCGCGGCAGAGTGCAGGACGTCTGGCGAGTCCTGGGCACCGAGGGCGCGCGCCGCCTGCGCGTCCTCGAAGCGGAGACCGCGGCGATCTTCCAGATCGAGAGCAGCGAGGCTGGGGGGCTCACGGGCACTCGCCAGCTTCCGCCTGCGTCCGCCAGACGCGGCGGAAGCAAGCGGACGGTAGCGGAAACGGCGGGAGCGGCGGAAGCGGGCGGAAAGTTGGCGGAAGCAGGCGTAAGCGACATGATGCGGAAGCAGGGGGGGCCTAACGAGTACGCGTGAATCCCGAGCGCCACAGGTCACGATCGAGCAGGACTACAAGTTCCCCACGCAGCACAAGTTCGACTGGCGCCAGACCAGACTGGCTCGCCGCAACGAGCTCGCCAAGGAGTACGCGATCATGAACTGCGGGCAGATCGTCAAGGGCGGCGTCTCGAGCTTGGCACAGCGCGCGCGCTGGTTGGCGAGATCGTGGAGCGCGCGGGGGCCCCCGAGACCGCTCAGCCCGAGGGGCAGGGGCGCTGGGCCGAGGGAGTCGACGAGGCCGAGCGCGCCCTGATCTGCGTGCGTTCCGAGGCGCCCGCGCACTGCACCTACCTAAAGGTCGGCGGTTGCTACAGTTGCCCCTGCCCCAAGGTGCCCCCGGTTTTTCGCTCCGTGTTGGAGCGAACCTTGGAGGCGCCCTGGGCAGGGGGCACTTGCAGCAACGCACGCCGAGGTCTCGAGGATCGGCGGGGGCGTCGGGGTGGAGCGCCGCGACGCCCTCGAGCAGCCGCCCGAGAACGCCAAGCAGGCTTAAAAGGCCACATGCGAACTCGCACCTGCACCCCGCGATTTCTGAAGGGGGGAGGGAGGGTTCATTTTGCTCGGGAGCTGTCGAACGAAGTGAAACCCACCCTCCTCCTCAGAAATCGTCGGTCGGGCTCGCGCGTGGCCTCCCAAGACCGCCGCGACGATCCCCCGCAAGCTCGGCGGCGTTGGCCCTGGCGAGACCTGACCTGCGAGGAGCAACGAGACGTTCCAAGCCGACGCCTGACCCTGCGGCCTGTGCGCGAGTCGCTGGATCGAGCGCGCCCTGCGCGAGATCCGAGGCGAGGGCCGCCAAGCGCCCGCAAGCATCCACACGATGCGCCCCCGAGGCAACGAGTGGATCAACAAGTCAAGGAGGTCGGCGACAACGACGCGGCCAAGGCCATGGCCAAGGCCAATGCCAAGAGCAAGACCGAGTCCAAGCACTTCGCGAACCCCGCGGCGGTCGAGCCGAAGCACGCCACCTTCGAGGAGGCAACCGCTGCCGCCCGGGCCTGCGCCAAGTGTCTCCCGTGCAAGTACGGCTCCAAAGGATGCCGAGCCTGGATGTGCGAGCGATTCGAGGCCGCGTGCGAGAGAGGGATCTTGGCCAGGAGCGCCAAGGACTTTTCTTGCGCAGGCAAGTTGTAGCCGCGAGCCTCGGGATCTTTCGAGTCAGTCTTGCGCCAACATCTACGGGGTCAGCCTACACGAGTGCCCAGGGCCATCATCATCATCATCATCATCATCATCGTCATCATCGTCATCATCGTCATCATCATCATCATCATCATCGCCATCACCTTCCCCAGGAAAATCGTCGATCATCCCCCCCAGACCCCCGAACTTCATAATCCCGCGAAGCTTATTATCGGCATCGCAGGGTTAGCTAATTCAACGGTCCACCAGGAGGCGGATCTGCGGTCACTTCGCGGATGATGGCACCCATCTGGGGTAGGTCTTCGCTCCCTGCACGGGCCGTGGCAGGGCGGTTCTAGACATGTAGCTCGGGGGGGGGGGCCTTCTCCGGCCTCTCCACGATGCGCTCGCGGAGGAGGAGGAGAAGGAGGAGGAGGAGGAGGAGGAGGAGGAGGAGGACGAAGAGGGGGAGGGGGAGGAGGGAGGAGGAGGAGGGGGGAGGAGGAGGAGGAGGAGGAGGAGGAGGAGGAGGAGGAGGAGGAGGAGGAGGAGGAGGAGGAGGAGGAGGAGGAGGAGGAGAGGAGGAGGAGAAAGAGGAGGAGAAAGAGGAGGAGGAGGAGGAGGAGAAGGAGGAGGAGGAGGAGGAGGAGGAGGGAGGAGGAGGAGGAGGAGGGGGAGGAGTGGGAGGAGGAGGAGGAGGAAGAGGAGAAGGAGGAGGAGGAGGAGGAGAGAGGAGGAGGAGAAGAGGAGGAGAAAGAGGAGGAGAAAGAGGAGGAGAAAGAGGAGGAGAAAGAGGAGGAGAAAGAGGAGGAGAAAGAGGAGGAGAAAAAGGAGGAAAAAGAGGAGGAAAAAAAGGAGGAGGAAAAAGAGGAGGAGGAAGAGGAAGAGGAAGAGGAAGAGGAGGAGGAGGAGGAGGAGGAGGAGGAGGAGGAGGAGGAGGAGGAGGAGGAGGAGGAAGCGGGCAGGAAGTGGGACTGAGGGAGGGGGTCAGGGACGGTGGGTGGGAGGAGGGGCGGCGGGAGGAGAAGAAGGTGAGGGGCGATGCTGCCCGCGCCGAGGCGGTGGAGGCGCTCTGGGACTCGCTGCCGCTGCCGGGCGGATGGGACTTCCTGAGCCGCGAGGGATGGGCGACCTGGGCGCAACAGAAGGGGCAGGGCCGACCCCTCGGCTGGTTGCCTCCGAGGAGACCTGGGCGGCGCTCGTCCTCGGAGGCCCCGGCCGTTAAGTTGCGCCCCCAGCCTCGCCAGAAGACCCCGACGGGAGCATCTCGTCGCCGTCGTCGTCGTCGTTGTCGTCGTCGTCGTCCTGGTCGTCGTCGGCGGCGGTAGCTTTCGACATTTTTGGCCGGGCCGGGCCGACCCCTCGGCCGGTTGCCATCGGGAGACCTGGGCGGCGCTCGCCATCAGAGGCCCCGGCCGTTACGTCGCGCCCCCAGCCTCGCCAGAGAACCCCGACGGGAGCACAGCATCGCCGTCGTTGTCGTCGCGGCGGCGGCGGCAGCTGTCGACATCTTCGGCGGAGCAGGAGGAGCTGGGGGACCCCTCGATTGCGTGCCTTCGGGGAGGCCTGGGCGGCGTTCGCCCCGTCGAGGCGAATCTGCTGGGCGCCCTCTGCAACAACGCCATCGCCTGCGTGTACGTCTCGCCCGTGCTCCAGCACGTGTTGCAGGTTGCGCCACCCCCGTCTGGGCGCCGAGAGCTGTCTATGATGATCCACCGTCCTTGGCCAGGCCTTATCCTGAGCCCAGGATCGGTCTTGGATGCCTCCCTGGCCCAGCCAAATTCAGGAGAGGAAAAAACACACAGGCACAATTCATCCTCGATTCCCCAGAAAACATGGGAAAATATGGGAAGTGGGGGGGAAGACAGAAACCCACAAAATATGGGAAAATATGGGGAATCTGTTTATTTGTGTGTATTTATTTGTGTGTCCTTGGGCCCCTTCACAAATGGCCGTGTTCACCGTTCCTGGGCCCAGAGTGGGCGTGGCACTGACGGCGGACGTGAGCAGCGTCTTGGTCGCGTCGCCCAACTTACCCACCCCAGGCAGCGCTGCCGCCTTCGCCTCCCCTCGAGGCGGTGGAAGCGGCTGCGAGAAGATGAGATCGGGGCGACAGCAGCCAGCGGGTCCTGCCCATTCCAAACAGGGCGCGCTGTCGGTGCAGCCGCAGACGATGTCCATCTGGGGCGAGCGTCGCCCGCTGTCGGTGTTCGAAGACGTCTGCTGTGGAGTGTCGTGCCCGTGTCTCCCGTGCCCACTCTGGGCGTGCCAACCCTGCCCCTCTCCTGTCCCCGTCTCCCCCTCTCCCTCTCCCTCTCCCTTCGCCCCCGTCCCTCGTCCACCCCGTCGCCTGCCCCCCGGGCCGATCGAGCCGTCCCTGTCATGTTCCGCAGGCCGACGGCCCCGGGGCAGTGTCTTGCCCGTGCGAGAGGCAGAGAGAGCACGTTTCCACGACACTGCCGTCGTCCGCCGCGGGTCGGGCCTGGAAGGCTCCGGACGGCGCGTCGCCATGCACGCTCCCAGCCCGCTGCCCATCGTGGCCCCAGGCTTCTCCATTTCCTCCTCCCCCTCCTCCTCCTCCTCCTCCTCCTCCTCCTCCTCCTCCTCCTCCTATCCCTCCTCTTTCCTCTCCCCCTCCCCTCGCCCCCTTCCCTCCCCGATCGAGGGTTGCTCGTGGATCACTTGCCGCCTCTCTGAGGCGGCCTTGTCTCCACTGTCTCCCTCTCCCTCCGCCCACTTCCCTCGTCCGCTCAGCGTCTCCCTTCCCCCTCCCTCCTCGATGCCGCCGCCCTCTTCTACCACCTGGTTTCTCGTCCTCTTCCCTGCGCACTGATTGACAGGGAATGGAAAGGGGAGAGCGGGACGGAGAAGACGGAGAAGGCGTTTTCTTCGCAGTCGTTTGTCGTGGCTCAAGTTTCTTTATTTGTCGCAGCTTTTGCAGGCAACGCGGCGCCACGCAGGGTCCAGACCACGTCACACCGCTGGCTTTTGCGCTGATGGCGTACGTTGCACACTCGGTCACTGTGACCAGCATGCCCATGCAGCCTCAGCAGCAGCAGCAGCAGCAGCAGCAGCAGCAGCGGCAGCAGCCTCATCACCAGCAGCAGCAGCAGCAGCAGCCTCAGCACCAGCAGCAACAGAGGCCGCTCCCTCCACAGCAGCACCATCGGCACCAGCCGCCTCAGCACCAGCAGCAGCAGAGGCAGGCGCAAATCCCTCGGGACGAGTTTGGCGACAGCCCCCGCGACAACATCTTTGCCCGACTCGGCGGTGCCTCTGAGGGCTCGTGCCAGCTGCACCCACGGCTGCTGGGAGCGGGTGTGAACACGGGAGCGGCCTGGACGGGCAAGCCGTCCGAAGCCCCGCCACGAGGTCCGCCGCCAGGGAGGAAGCGCGGCTCTGAGGGAGAGCGGTCCTGAAGTTTTTGACGGCAGTTCTCGGCGTTTCGGGCCCCTTCATTTTTTGTTTCTCAGCGAGATGGGTCAATGACCTTCTGTGCGACGAAAGCTCTGCAAAGGCAGGATGCGTCTGTCACGGGATACTAATTGGAGGTGTTGAATTTGCCAACGGGTCCGTCAAAAGTTGTACGCCTGATGTGATCCAGACATGGTTCATAATGAATTGAGCGGCGCCAGACACCGGGGTCGTCTTCGCCGACATTCGCGCGTGAGCTGCCCGCGCAAGGTCGCGCGGAAGTGCCCTCGTCTTCAATCGTGGATCGCCGCGCTGGCGGCCCACGTAAGCCACCGCGTGAGGTCGCTCCGCCATCTCGCGCACGACCGTTTCTTGATCGTCGCTCGATTGGTTCGGGGTCCCTTCGGGGGGACCTCGAACCAATCGAGCGACGTCGCTTCGTCCTTGGAGCCGATCGTCGCTTCGATTGGCTCGATTGGTTGGCTCGACCGTTTTTTGATCGTCGCGAACGGAGGTGACAGGCCGTCCCCGGGTGGGGAAGCCGCCAGGGGACAGGACCCGCTCCCCCCCCCGCACGGGCAAGCCAGGTCCAGCGCCTCCGCAGGAAGAGGGCTGTGCCGACCCAGCTGCTCCGCGGGCGCCCGGTGGAGCTGACATCGTCTGGCCAAGCGACATTGATGGGCATGTTTTCCATCACCACCACCATAGTTGGAGTGGGAGGGGGTCCTCCTCGTTCCTCCTCCTCCTCCTCCTTCTCCTCCTCCTCCTCATCCTCCACCTCCTTCCCCCCTCCAACTTATGATGGTGGTAGTGGAAAACAGGCCCACCAGACATGACCACGGTGATGCTGCGGAACATCCAGAACCGGTACACCGCCGAGGAGCTCATCGCGGAGATGCTGTCCAAGGGGTTCGACGGGGTGTTCGACTTCTTCTACCTGCCGATGGACTTCAAGACGAAGAGGAACCGCGGGTTCTGCTTCATCAACTTCCACACCGAGGGCATCGCGAGAAGCTTTGCTAAGGCCTTCCACCAGCAGCGCCTCACGAGGTACACCACCCAGAAGATCCTCGAGGTGTCGCCGGCGGTGACCCAGGGATTCGAGGCCAACGTGGCGCACTACATCCGCAAAGATGCGCAGCGCATCCAGAACCCCTGGTTCAGGCCCATGATCTTCCCAGGCCCGGAAACTGGCAGCTACACAAATCTCTTCTGTGTGCAGGTATGTGGGCACAGGGCGCACCCAGAGATTCCGGGCGTCGCAGTGTTTGTCATGCCAGGCGTTTTTCAGATCTCGGCCCCAGGGCCCTGCCACGGATTGAAACAGAACACGATGTTGGCTGTCGGGGATCAGCACTTCGGGGTCGATGTGGGTGGGCATCGCATGCTTACCACGCTGGGCGTTTTCGCCCGCATCAGGGCCCCAGGCACCCTCCACGGATCGATCCGGCGTGAGGAATGCCGCGCAAAACAGCCCCCAGAAACTATGACTTTGCAGACCTGGGCCTCGCCAGATCCACTGGGGAGAGACACGGAGGATGGAGAACGGTGTGACCCGCGGCTACAGTTCTCTTGGGCTCGCCAGCGCCATGGTGACCCAAAGGGCCCCCCGTCCACGGAGCCCTGAAGAAAGTTGGGGCCTATATGGCCCCAGTCGGACGGGGCTAGGACAGGGACATGTCCGTTCCAGAGCGTTCCGGAACGCTTTCTGGAACGCTCTGAGAATGCCGTGGCGCCCGATAGATCCTCCAGGGCCGCTGGATCTGAGAGATTCCCGATACGGTGGGGGCCTGATCACAGGAAGCCTTCACAAGAAGCCCAACCCTGAGACCCCAGGACGTCCATTGATTCTCGGTGTGGGAACGCCACGCTTCCCGCAGCAAAACCTTCGGAACACGAGAACCCAGGGCACCCTGGAGACAAACAGGTTGTTCCTTGGCATGGGCCCCCCCTGCCCTCCGCCGTCCTGGCTTCGTCTTGCCCAGGCGTGATGCTTGGAGCGCTGTTGCAGGGAGCACGGTCGGGCCGCTCGCGGTTTTCCGGGAGGTGGTCGGCCCTTCGGGGGCCTTCTGCGGGGACTGGCCTCCCCAGGGGGGCCAGCGGCGGCGGGCCTGCACTGGCCCACGCAGGGCCCCGGAGTTCGCAGCGTGGCCGGGGCCAGTGGCTGCGCACCCGGACCGACGGATTCTGGATTTCTCTGAAGTGCGCATAACAAGGCACAGATTAGTGGTGATAACGAGTAACACGACTGAGAAGGACAGAAGTAGAGAAACGATACGAATGCGACTAGAAATGATAACATGAACGAACACGCAGTGCGAATAACAATCATCAGATTAGTGGTGATACGAGTAATACGAATGATCATGATAGAAGTAGAGAAACAATGCGAATGCGAGTAGTAATGATGATATAAACGAGCACGTAGAAGTAAGAGTAATCTCTCGCCAGAGTGGCCCCTGGTGCGGGCCCAGCGGGGTCCCCCGATCGCTGCGCGCGACGCGGCGGCAGCCGCTTCCCCCGTGAAGTCGCGCATCAAAGGTCACTCTTGCCGAAGGCCACTCCTGCGTGTATTCGGTTTTCCAGGGTCCAGACCTCCGACGATATGTTTTTTTTCCATCGCGGTGGCTGTTCCCGCATCTCT